CCTTTCATACGAACGCTGGTGTTTCCCATGGCTTTATCCTGGCTCCTACCCACATTCTCATCTTCATCAACGATCTTCCTGATGTTATCAGTTCTAAAGTAGGCATCAACGCAGACGATACTACCATTTACTCCTGTCTCAAAAATAAATCCGACATTGCTGACAAATTTAATCTGGCCGTTGGTCTCAGAAAGAACCTCCCCAATCTGTGATTTACTGGGGCAGGAAATGGCTTGTAATCTTTCCCAAGAGTATAGCACGTATGTGAATGTAATGGATGCGATTGGAATAAGAACTCGACTCTCCGATTCCTCAACCCGAGTCGCCATCCATTACTTTATAAGGATATACGGATCGATTTAACCATATTGATAAAAACAAATGCATTTTTTTCGTATAATTTCAAAGAATGAAGTTCAGAAAATTCAACGGTCGAAACGTCGCTATTTCTTGGAATCTTTCTGAAATAATATTTTTTTCAATTTTCATACAATGAAGACCATAGAAATTAACGTTGCTAAAGTAGATATTTTTTTTTTGCTGAAAATAAGACTAAGAGAGAAGTTTAAAAAAACAATCTTAGAAAGTGTGCCCTATGATTTCAAGTTTGGAAAACAAAATACTAATAGAAAGAAGGGAAGATAGAGTAATGGAAAAAAAATAAAAAAAAAAATGAAAGAAACGGAAACGAAAAAAAAATATTCGAAAAAAATCATCCCCAAAGAAAAAGAAAGAAACAAACGACCTGAGACGTTTGAACGGAAATATGACATCAAAAAATAAAATAAAATCAGATAAAACGCAAGAAAATATATTCAATCGCTCTCAGCATTAAAAAGTGTCGCGGCCTGAAAAGACAGAAAGAATGAATAATAAATACGTTTGAAAGGAATCTGTTTGTTTCCATAGACAGAACCTTACTAAACCAAGCGGCTGTTTTTTTTTTTTTGTTTTTTTTATCTGACTGCGAATTCCAATCACGTTTCAGTAGGCGCATCGTTTGAATTGAAAAGGCAAAAGACACCCAAATAATATCGACTTTATGACGTTTTTCTTTGTCTAAATATTGAGTATATTATATGGATTTGCTTTTCAAAAATACTTGATCGTACTTCAGATGAAAACATCTTGACATATTTGAATGAGAGAAGAGGCATCACACAGTATATACGTCTAAAGAAAAGACATCATACCAGAGTTTATATACATACACAAGAACACAGACGCAAGCACACACTTCTTTAATACATCTATCTAACTATCAATCTATCTATCTATCTATCTATCTATCTATATATATATATATATATATATGTAACATACGTTTGTGGTGCGACTAAGGTTTCATTGTTTTACCAACTTATCGGGCACGAAATACTATTAATATTTAAAAAAAAATTAATATACTACGTCTTATGAGAGGAACGGGAAATTACACGCAGATTTGCAACTCGATTTTCGCACATCTATAACTACATAATAATAATAATAATAATAATAATAATAATACAGACGAACCTTAAAAATCCATTGGGCTATAAATTATTTCATGAATATATACAAATATTCATCTCTATAGACTGAAGTGTTTTAATAAATTGAGTCAATTTGTCCAGATAAAAGGAGGAGGAAGAAAAAGAAAAAAAAAGATAAGGGGAAAAAATATTTTAAAGGAGGAAGAAAGAAAAAGAAAAATTTCAGTATAAGGGTAAAAATATTTTGATGGGAGAAGAAAAAGAACGATTCATATATATCTATATATATATATATATATATATATATATATATATATATATATATATATATATATATATATATATATATATATATATATATATATATATATATATATATATATATATATAGTGATTTACTAAGGTTTGCACTTTAGGTTTACGTCATTTGGAAATGGAACGAAGCTAAATGTATGGGGGCACACTTAGTCCTAATTATTTAACGAGACAAGCTTACTAACAAATACAACGCGTGCATGCGGCCTTCCTATATATATATATATATATATATATATATATATATATATATATATATATATATATATATATATATATATATATATATATATGCATTTTTCGTAAAAACGACAGACAAGGTACTACGGTTGAGCTTTTTATTTAATTTTTCTTGTGTTCTGACAAGAGCTTTTTTTCTGGACAAAGGGTGTGTAAGAACTTTCCGAATGTTTTGTATTTCCGAGCGCTTTCGCTATATTTAGCCATTATCAAGGATGATTCAATATCAGCTTAGTAGAGTGTGTGTGTTCTGTGTATGTTCAGTGTGGTAGTGATGTTTTTAGTTTTCGAATACGGTTAGCACATTGTGGCTTTGTTCATAGTTAATATTGTTAAGAGTTGGCTTTTTCTTTTTTTTTATTAGAGCTTCCATTATTTTTAGTCATTTTTTGCAAGTGGATCCAGTTAATATATTTGTGTTTTCTACTAGTATGTTTCTAATAGTGTCGGGTAAATCTGAGTGTGTGTTTAAATGTGTTCTGATGGAACTGTGATCAGATAGGTGTAATGTAAGACGTCTGGATAAACATGTGGTTGTGTAGCCGATGTAATTATTTATGAGTCCGGTTTGGTGAGGAACGCAGTTTTTTAAAGGGCATTTGAACTCATAGATAATGTTTGTTCTTTGTAATTTTGACTTAGTTGGTGTGTTGTTATTTTACAAACAAGATGAATCTTCTCTAAGACATATTATAAAGAAATATACTACTCCTATTGATCCTAATAAAAAAATCAAACTTATTATCTATTATAAAAAATTTAAGACGGCCAACCTTATCCTCAAAAATAACAACTATGTTTAGTAATTGGTAATAAAAATGATTTTTTAGTGAAATTTAAAAGCAAATATTTTCCCTCATCAGAAATAAAAAAAAAATGTTTACCTCCTTTCCGAAAAGGATATATATATATATATATATATATATATATATATATATATATATATATATATATATATATATATATATATATTTTTTTTTATTACTTTAAAATGTTATTTTTAGCGGATGCAAATATGTGTGTTGACTCTCCGTTTATTTTTTAAATCATATTTTTATTTTTGTCTTCTTGCCTGATTATTCGAAAAATCCTATCAAAGTAAAAATGCACCCTTTCACATACGAAGCTAAGCAGTGATGTACTAGCGGAAATCGAAGCGAGAAACCCGGTATAGAACCTTTCTTAATCGGCGTCGCTCTTCGTAACTGAGTCGGTTAAAAGCACGTCGAATCTGACGATGCTTTCTCCAGCAAAGGAAGACTCAGGTTCGAATACTCTGCAACGTCTGGAGCTGAGAAACTTTGCCTATACCATCACCATCATTGTCCGTCACATGACCGGACGCAGGACGTACAGACGCTGCGTAACTAAAACCCTGGCCATTCTCATTCCTTTCTCTTGTCTTGGTTGAAAGGCGGACATGTATGTTTTCATGTGTTACGTGTTCTGCGGAAGTAAACCTGTTCAAGTTATAGAATTCTAGAATTGGCAGCTGGGTTATTTCGCCAATGAACTCAAATTGAATATTTCATTGTTTTGAATATTTCATTATCATTTGAAATTCTCTCAATTTTTTACAGTTTATTTTTCATCTTTTTTCTTTTTTAAATTTTAAATTGGAACAATTAAAACCTAACCCTGGCATTTCCCTCTTTAGGGGACATCACAAGCGAGTAATAATGGTCCTTGCACATTCCCAGAAGAGAGCTATTACTTTAAAGATGGCTCTCAGGGGCCCGAGATTATAATATTAGTTTAAATTCCCTGGTATTTGCAGTTTTAAAACGATAACATTATTTTTTGTAGCAGGGGCAGGATGTATTTTATTCGTTGGCAATAATAACAATCCGCGTAAATAGGAATAATTGACACTTAAAATGTTTAGAAGGTAACAAATTAATAAGCGTGAAAAATACAATGAGCAGGATTTCAAATTGTTCGCTTCAAGGGGAATTCCCAAATAAACGTCCAAATCGATTTTTAAAGTTTCGCATTTGTTTGCACAAATATAATAACTCTTCTTCTTCTAGCTCTCTTTTTCCTTCTTGCTCTCTTTCTTTTTCTTCTTCTTTTTCTTATTCTTCTTCTTCTTCTTCTTGCAGTCTTTTTTCTTATTGCTCTCTTTCTTCATCGTCGTCTTCTTTTTCTTTTTCTTCTTCTAGCTCTCTTTTTTTCTTTTCTGTTTCTTCTTGCTCTTCTTTCATCTCCTCCTACTTTATTCGTCCCTCTTTTTCTTTTCTTCTCTTCTCCTTCTTCTAGTTCTCTTGCTTCTTCTTTCTTTTTTTCTTCTTGCTCTCTTTCTTCATCTTCTTCTTCCTTTTCTTTTTTATCTTCTTCTAGCCCTCTTTTTTCTTCTAGCTTTCTTTCTTCTTCTTGCTCTCTTTCTTCATCTCCTCCTACTTTCTTCTACTCCTCCTACTTTCTTCTTCTCCTTCATCTTCTTCTTCTTGCTCTCTTTCTTCATCTTCTTCTTGATCTTTTTCTTTTTCTTCTTTTTTCTTTTCATCTTCTTCTTCTAGCCCTCTTTTTTCTTCTAGCTTTCCTTCTTCTTCTTGCTCTCTTCTTCATCTCCTCCTACTTTCTTCTCTCCTCCTGCTTTCTTCTTCTCCTTCATCTTCTTCTTCTTCTTGCTCTTTTCTTCATCTTCTTCTTGATCTCTTTCTTCATCTTCTTTTTCTTTTTCATCTTCTTCTTCTAGCCCTCTTTTTTTCTTCTAGCTTTCTTTCTTCTTCTTGCCCTCTTTCTTCTTCTCCTCCTACTTTCTTCTTATCCTCCTACTTTCTTCTTCTCCTTCATCTTCTTCTTCTTGCTCTCTTTCTTCATCTTCTTCTTGATCTCTTTCTTCATCTTCTTCTTTTTCTTTTTCATCTTCTTCTTCTAGCTCTCTTTTTTCTTCTAGCTTTCTTTCTTCTTCTTGCCCTCTTTCTTCTTCTTTTTACTTCTTCTGCTCCTTTTTCTTCTTCTTTTTCTTCTTCTTGCTCTCTTTCTGCTTCTTCTTCTTCTTCTTCTTGCACTCTTTTTTCTTATTGCTCTATTTCTTCGCCTTCTTCTTTCTCTCCTTCTTCTTCTTCTTCTTCTTCTTCTTCTTCTTCTTCTTCTTCCAATTACTACTTCTTCCATATAAAATCGCATGGCTTCAATTCGGTGAAAATTAATCACTCAAAACTAAATGAGTAAATAAAAAAATAAATTGATTTTTTTTTTTTTTTTATTTCTAAGCATTTTTCAATTATAGGGAAAAACTTAACTGTGCTGATTTAAAATTTTACATACATTCCAGCAAAAAGAAGCAAACATTTCAATACAGTTTTAAAAGAAGAAAAAAAGTAAAACACGAAAGAACTAATTCTTGATGAAATAACGAAGACCACAGAAAAATTGGGAGACTTTTTTTAAAGACAGGATTTACGACCGGCTTTGACGATTTTTAATTTGTAACACCGCGTAACGATCATCAATGTTAACTTAGAATACACACAGGAATCACTTAAAGCATCAAGAACATAGAAATCACATGGGATCGTGGTCGAGTTAATTTTTCTCCCATCCCTTTTTCTGACAGACAAAGCGTTGCTAGCCACTCGCTAATCTATCGCTATTTCCATGGCAAATGTTTAGACGACCCACCAGTTGGAATCTTCATTGCTATGACACGCTAAGCCACATACACAGGGTCGAATCATCAACATTCCCTTCATATTCCATTGGTCAGAAGGAAGTTTAACTCGGGCAGCTTCTTTGCAAGTAATTTATGGAACAGGTCCGGATTTTCTGTCAACTTTAACAAGTCTCAATTCCTAATACGAAATCAAAATTCGATTTGAGATGCCAAACACAGAACTCACGAGGTGGGGGCATCAGATTCTCCAAGCCATTCTTTCTCAATATGTCTCCAAGAAATATCAACTCTCTCTTCAAGATTCTGAATAAAAATGTCCTTTTTGTTTCCATCTATTTGTCATGCTTATAGGCACGTGGCTGAGTGGTTAGAACTTTTGCTTTCTGACCATGAAACACGAATTCGAATCTTACCATGGCCGATTTGCCAGGAAGGCAACTTCTTGATGTTGTGGTGTGCGTCATATTTTGGCAGTGCCTGAAAGCCATACCGCGGGTTGACCCAAGTCTTCTGAGTGAAACTGAGGGCCGGCGGTGGTTGTTCTAGCACAGAGTCCCAAGTCATCGTGACCGAGCGTTTAATCGTGCTGGCCTTGTTCAGATAGCCGTAGACGGGTATCCATTAACGTCACTTGCATGCTACGTACACAGCGACTCATTCTCATTTCATTTGTATTCCATTAGTAAGGAAGAAGTTTAACTTCGATCGCTTATAACTTTGAACCCCTATTTTGTGGAATAGACAGGATTTACTGTTCCCTTTAAAATATTTTAATTCCTCATACCTCGCCACGCTCGTCACTCGTTCAGTTATTATTATTATTATTATTATTATTGTTATTATTATTATTATTATTATTATTATTATTATTCAGAACGTGTGTGAACATGGCTCTTAAGGCTTTTTCATACACTTTGCAAACGCCAGATCAGCTTGAAAACGGAATACTGCTCCCATATCTGGCCTGAGGCTGCCCAGTATTCCTTTTCTAGTAATAACGGAATTCAAAAGTGTCGACGCGGCCTTGTGGTTGATTAATCATTTTCAATCTTGTAACCACTTTTTTCCACTCGCTATTTTATCGCTATATTCATGGAAAGTTTTCTGACAAACTCCACCAGTTCAGACCGCCACACCCGCGATATCACACTAACAAACGCCATGGAACGAACGATCATCATTCCCTTCATATCCAATTAGTAAGAAGAAAATTCCACAGCTTCCTCGCACGAACCTATATTTTGTGGGACATACTCTTGAATGGATATTTGCCTGACGTGACCGGACATTTGGCCAAGCGGACATTTCACCAAAAAAGTACAATACAAGAAAAAGTGCCATACATGATACACGCTTAGGCGATCACGCATCTTTCGATACATGACTGACGAGGCAGATTTTTTTCTTGCAGTAGGTTGTCATTTCTTTCGGCGGTAATCAGTTGCCAACAACGGTTACAGAACCGGGTCTGGGGAGAGAAGAAGAGGATGCATACCTTTCCCAAGTGTTATGGACATGTAAGTGAATGTAATAGATTCGACTAGAATTCGAACTCGGTTCTCCAATTCCTCAATCCGAGCCGATATCCATTACTCCACCGTGATTAAATTACCAAACCTAAATTTAAAGTTTCTTATTTCAGTATTTGTTTATTAAAATTAGTATTTTAAAAATATATCCGTTTATCTGAGTGGATAAAATATACCATCTAATTATTTAAATTCGTATTTACCAGTAAGATAAAAGCTAGATCATCCCTTTAAGATAATGATCATTAAGAGAGAAATTGAAAGATCTCCTTTTTTTAAATCATTTCACTCCAAGGTAGGGGATAATGCCACTCGGGCGCATTGGTTTACTGGGAATGAAAGATAACGAGAAGACTTTAGCGACGAGTAAAGACAATAAAGGGACAGGATTCTAGAATGGCGATTGGCGGTGCATTTATTTATTTGAAGAAATCGGAATGGACGTGCGAGAAAAGAAAGAATTAGAATATAATATAGAGTTACATCTAGATAGTTCCACAGTAAAATCGTGAGACCCAATTGCCAATCAAGTAGCACGTTTAAATTCATGCAGTCGAGACACAAAGAAGGACCTTAGAACAATTTTGTAGAAAATACAGAGGGAAGCCTCGTCATGTCGGTGAGAAAGCGACTGTAGTCGTGACGCCAGGTCAAGGTCGATCTTCGAATATTTCATTTCTACACCCTTATGCAATTTAATTGAAATGACCACTTTAGTTTCCTTTCTTTCAGCATACGGTCAGTTTTCGGCGTCTATGATGAAAATTGTTTGGCCTTGAAAAATATTGACTTGTCCGTGATTGCATCAGATTTTCATCACGCACAAACACTATTGATTCGACTGTCGATTAGTTGTCCTAGGACCATTGTTGGCGATGGACGTTACTACAAGGCCGTACGAAAATTGTAACGCTGCACGAACACACTGGCAAGACTTACCAGTGAGCAAATCAAAGTACTATAGACTTGCCCGGAAACCCTGCTGATTTAAATCCAATCGAGAATCTGTGGTCAATCTGCAAGGAACAAATTCATGGAATGGACATACAAAGTACTAATATGGGCACTGGGTCATGTTTCATTGGAAAAATACGGAAAAAAGTAAATAATAACGGAATTATTCGTTTTGTTTCAGTTAATTTGCTCAAGGCTGTATGTTTGCTGGTGAAGACGCCTTTGCTGAAAATAAACCTTGGCTCGGAAGTAAAATTCATGTTGATAAAAGTAAAGTCGCAAATCTTTGCATGTTTGGCATTATTTCAAGGTTTAGTTTGATATTTGACGAATTCATGCTATTTGGAGAGGGAAAAAACATGAATGTTATTATGACTCCATGCCGCATTCAGATTTTGGAAAGAAGCCAATCAGACATTCTTTCAACGTTTTCTCTTATCAGACAGTAAACAAGCGAAAACCATTTGCATCGGCCGCCTGTGTTGTTCACCAGAAATAAAACGGGCACGCATGCGTATATGCTGACATTTTGACCTGTATGCTTCCGTTCTTGCAAGAGTTTTTTTTTTTTTTTTTAACTCATATCCTGCTTCCTGGCTTGAACACGGAGCGGGGAAAAAATAAACTAAAACAAAGAAAACCCAACAATAATCTTTAAGTTAAGTTTCTGCCTTAGATGGCATTGTGAGCATTTACATTTAATTAACTTTACGTTACAACTATTTTTGATTGCATTGTTGTAATAGCAGTCAGGTAAATATTGTTGTTGATGTTGTTCTTCTTCTTTGTGAATTATCCTTTCAAAACATGTCGGTAATAATGGCTCTCCACAATATCCTGTCTTTTTTTACTATTCTCCAATCCCCGATCTGACATTACTTTACACCTGCAGGTCCCCTCTCGTTGTTTCCCTTCTGTCCTTCCTGATGTCAAAAATCTCTTTCTGGTTCTAAGGAAAAGTTTAATTTCTGTTTATGTTTTCCTTTGAATATCTTCACTGCTCGGATATTCCGTCCATTTTATTACCATCATCCTTCTGTGGAGCCAAATCTCTATTGCTTGAAGTCTTCACCTTATACTGTATTCACTGGCACATAGCGGGTTTGATATTGTATGGCAGTTTAACACTTTTTTCTTTGTTTCTAACGAACATTTCATTTATTAATACTTTGTTTAGCTTTTGAAAGGCATTTTTCCTTATTCCTTCGGATTTCGTTGTCACATTTTTCGTCATTATGTCAATTTGTCATTTTAATTCTAAACCTTTTTGAAGCCTTTTCAGCGTAATAATTTTTTTTTTAATTTTTGTTAATTGTTCGCCCAGTAGAAGACCCAAGAGCCATTCAAGGTTAAAGTTTATTGAATGACGTTGTTATATAGATGTAAGGGGTTGGGTTAAGAAGTGCAGATTATAAGGATATATGAGAAAGATAAGAGTTGGCCCTAGACTTGAAGAGTTTAAGATTGTAAAGATCGGGGAAGCATCCTCTCGGGAGTCTGTTGTCTGAATGGAACTTCCTTCTTACTAATGGAATAGAAAAAAATGAATGGAGGCGGTTTATTCCAGTATACGCAATATGGCGATTCGTTCTAGTGTACCTGACAGGCAATTCGTTCCAATGTACGTAACATGACAGATCGTTTGAGTGTACGTGACATAGCGGTTCGTTCCAGTGTGCCTGGCATGGCAATTCGTTTCAATGTACATGACATGGCGGATCGTTCCAGTGCACGTGACATGGTGGATCGTCCCAGTGTACTTGACATGGCTGATCGTTCCAGTGTACGTGACATGGCGGTTCGTTCCAATGTACCTGGCATGGCGATTCGTTCCAATGTACGTGACATGGCTGATCGTTCCCGTGCACGTGACATGGCAGTTCGTAGCGATAGAATATACGAACTTTAGGAAACTAAGAAATTAGACTCGTCTGAACATCTGCTATGAAAATAGCTTGAAGCGAGCAACGTTTCGGGAAAGGAGGAAACGGGTTGTAGGAGGGAAAATAATTATGTTAAAAATGTTTTGTTTTTTTTAATTTACGTAGTAAAGCATACAGAGTCCAGTAGATTTCTTTCATTAAACTTGTAGCAAGGATGATACGCGTTTTTAATTGATTGATTCGTTTAACGGCATATGAACTCCTTCATGGGTCATTTAATACCTAAATTTAACTTGAGCGCTTTAAAGCAATAAAAATATGAAGCACGTTATTCTGCTTTCACACTTGAATACATGGTAGATGATACTCTGCTTTTGTGTAGAGATATGTTTGTGTGAATATAATTACGAGAAGCAGAGATATGTATGTGTTTTATGTTGTAGTTTTGTTGAAGTTATATTTTAGAATACAGTATGACATTTTTTTAAAGAAATTATAGTATATTATATGGATTAATGTCATGAAAGAGTTGTTCCGTGTTGGTCGTTTGGTTGGTTTATTTTGGTTTAGCGGCATATCAACGCCTCTATGGGTCATTTAATACGGAAATCTAAATATTTTGTACATATTTTTATACTTTCACGGTAAACGTATGACTTTTTAGATATATATTTTATCCACTGTGCCATGTGTGGATAAAGGCGTTAGTTAGATCCAGTGGCAGGACCCAAAGTGTGTGAGTTCAATACCTGGTTAAGGCAGTAGAGAAATTGGAGAGGGGAATTAACTGGAGATAACTGATAACTGATATCCATCAGACATGGCACGTGTAACTAGAACTATTTATCTAGTTTAAAAGTAGTAAAATCGACCTTGCTAACCAGACATCCCTCTGTAGCTAAACTGCTTTCCCGATGACTATAATCTTCATATATTCAAGCGTAATCTCAATCGATATCTGACACCCTGAGTTTAATCACCGTCCTTCTCTGTATCCTTTCCTCATCCACGCCTTTTTACTCTTATTCTCAATCTTCTTTAACCCCCTTACGTGTTAGGGGCACTCCCGCCTTGCTTGGGGTGAATTGCCTTAGAGAAATAATAAAAAAAAACAAAAATCTCAGAATTTGTCATACGTACACCCACTGAACTTATAGCGTAAACTCGACCATAACTTAATACTGTTTGTTTCATAGTTGCAGGGATAACTGAATTCATAACTTTGTCAAGATAATTTGAAAATGATTAAGCATCTCACCTCGGAGTGTCTTTTTTCAGATAAGCAATATAGTTTTCACTCCACTGGGTTAACCGATGATGTGTTAACGATTATTTTTGTAAGAGTATGTCAAACTTTAGATAAGTATAGTGAAGTTCCGGCTGTTATTTCGATATCACGAATGTATTTGACAGAATTTGACATATTGGCCTTCTTCACAAGTTGAAAGGTTGTACTATTTCTGGGCGAATTTTTAAACTGATACAGTCTTTCTTATCGAATCGTGAACTGAAGGTTGTCTTGAACGGCCAATCTTCTTGATCTTTTTGCATTAATGCAAGCGTCCACCAAGGCACTATCATTGAACCTATGCTGTTCCCAATTTACATCGACGATTGTCAGTTCTAAATTCGGTATCTATGCTGATGTAACAGCCACTTATTCCCGTCTTGATAGTTATATTTAGATAAGGTCAAATTGGTAGCCGATTCCAGAAATGATCTACATTCTGTTATTAACTGGAGCAAGTGAATTTCTTGTTAATTTTAACTTATCCAAAACAAAACTGATCTCTTTTAATCCTCTAAGGGAAGCCATTTTATATTCTATCAGTATGATTGATACTAAACTCCAGGAGGATGACTCTTTGCCCTTCTAGAACTATTCTTTTCTGCTGACATGAAGTGGAAGGTTTATATTGAATCAATTTCCAGGTTTGGTGTTAGGAATTTATATTCACTGTGTCGTGCCGGAGAAGTTATTTCGTCAGAATCTATCTTACATAGTTATTAGTGTACCATTTATCTTTGCGTTGAATATTGCTGCCGTATCTGATCTAGTGCTCCTGCTATATATTTAAAAATCCTTAATAAAATCCAAAGAAGAATCTGCAATGTTATTGATCTTGACCTAGCATCTTCCCACCGACGTAATGTAGCTTCTCTGTGCATTTTCTATAAATAAACTCATAGTAATTGTTCTGATTAACTTCCCTCGATGTTGTTATTTTTATTCCCCACCCCGCCACAGACAAATTGTACATACAGGAACTAGTTAAGACTACATAGAGACTTTGAGGTATTATGGTGACTGTAGTAAGAATGGTAAGTTATAAAGAATTGTTTTGGTGTGAGCAATACTGTGGTATGTTTGGGTGAGTAACCGTGGTTTAAGTTCACGATAAGGCAGATTGAGACTAACCTTCCTCTATCCCCGATTTTGGCCTTGTGCCAGATTTTTACGTTATATCAAAATAAATATTCCTTCGCATTATGGTACCTAGATTTTATAAGCACAGTACTAGATTGGCGGTAAAGTTTCACTTGAGATGGCTAGAGGTAATCGTATATTCTATGCTAACTGTTTCTTCTATCGCACTCCTAAGTTGCGGAACTCTTTTCTGATTTCTTGCTTCCTAATCTAATTTGAAATTAAAAAATTTAAATGCAATGCCAATCGTTATGCTCTGTCTTCTTAATTATTGTTATTTTTTTTGTACACTTGCCTTAATAATTGTTTTCTCATATTCTCTTACACTCAGAAACCATCTGCGTCTTAGTGGCTTTATTCTCTTGCTTAGGGTGTAATTACTGCGAAAAATAAGAAAAAAGTGTACTAAAATTACCCTTTGCCTGAGTTTGAAATCGATTATTTGATTCCATTTATTGTTTCATGAGACAAGTGCAACACCGTTTCTGCATGTTTAGTAATGTGCGTGTTTTCTGCAATGTTTTGTTTGTGATGTCGCTCTTCAGAATTTTACTCATCATCATAAAGTATTACTAACAGATATTCATCATCTCTACATAAATATCTAAATAGCCACAACACGAGAGCAGTTTCCATGTTTCTTTTTTTCTATCTATTTTTTTTATTGTTTATTCCTTTTTCTTTTCTTTTTGTCGCTGCTGACAAATGCTTAGCAATTTCAAATCAGAATTTATAGAAATGGACACGAAATAAGACGGCCAGATTGTAAGCATATCACCTTAAAAGATGATAATACTATTTGCATTGCAGTAATAATATCGTCAGACCCACAATAAATTATTGTCTAAGATTCCAACTATCAAATATTGTTGTTCAGTCAAGTGATGTTTATTTTATTAGTTCAATTTCTTTCCATATTCTCTTTGTGTGGAATGACTTTGTATAGACGTGTGTTAATTACAAAAGTCAATTGTAATCCCCCACCACCAACAAAAAAAAAAGAGTTTGTAATTAGATGGTTATTGTAAGCTGCGCCTCTCTTGGTTACACGAGAAGGAAATAATTGATGATATCTCGCTGGGTAAAAAATATTGACTTTTTCGCCATAAAATAGTTTTACGAGAAGGATATGAAAAACAAATTCTTTATTGTCATTCCGTTATGCAAGGAAATGGAAAAAAAGATTTTATGCTTTAAAACATCAATTAAAAATGATATGAATAAAGCAAGGCATAATGACACAGTTTGAACTTTGACCCAGATGATTCATTTACTGGTTGTTCACCCAATACAAAGCCCGAGAACCACTCAAGTTAGAGCATTACTGGATGAGGTTTTGATGAACGTAAGATGACGAAGTCAGATATGCAGATTATGAGGATACGTAAGGATAGTTGATTTGAGATTTAAAGAGGTTCTGATGTTTTATACTACTGTATCTCAATACAAGGCCTAAGAGTCCCTCAAAGTAGAAGGTTACTGCTTGGTGTTGTCTGAGCTCACGAAAAAGACAAGAAGTGAAACTGATGGGGTTATGCAAGAAATATAATGATTAGCCCTAGGCATAAAGAGGGTAAGCTTGTTGTAACTGGTAAAACATCACGTCTGGAGTCTATTCAACAAAGAAGAAGTTCTTTTGAAGAAGCTCTCCGAGTGGTTATTAATTCTTACTAATTAAATACGAAGGGCAATGAGGATGATTCATAACTGTGGATGTGCCATCCCAGCTATAAAGGTCAGGACTGGTGAGTCACAGAAATGTAGTTCACGATATTTCGTCTGTAGGAAAGGGGTTGTAGGATTTAATAATTCATCACCCACAAGTCCACGTAGGAGGAGGCAAGTCAGAATTGCGCATCAGTATTCCATTTTTGGTCTGATCTATACTTTTGAAAAAGAGTCTTATACTTACTGGGCTGTAAAATAAACCGACCATTTTTCACAGAATCTTTTAGCAATAAGTCATATATATATATATATATATATATATATATATATATATATATATATATATATATATGTGTGTGTGTGTGTGTGTGTGTGTGTGTGTGTGTGAAAATATATAGAAAATATGAAGGAACTGGTCTGGTTAAGTAAATAATCCAAAATCCCTTAGTATTTTAGTTATTATTTTTTAAAAATAGTGCTCGATACAAAAGTAGAGCATAAATATAATTATTTATTTAAAAATATGATTCCAAATCGCGACATAAGAAGTCCCATGTTTCAAAACAAGAGCCGAAAACTTCAATATAATTAATTAAATTAAAATGAGTTAAAATAAAGCTCTGTTCCATCTTCAAGCGAAATTTATGGAACAGAGCTTATTTTAACTCAATTTAATTTAAATAATTATATTGAAGTTTTTCAGCTCTTGTTTTGAAACATGGGACTTCTTATGTCGCGATTTGGAATCATATTTTTAAATAAATAATTATATATATATATATATATATATATATATATATATATATATATATATATATATATATATATGGGTTCCACTAGAGGGCTGGGGAGAGATTCAGCCCTAACAGACATTCTAAGCAAGGGATCT